TGCAGGTTGTCCCGCTGCCGCTGCTTGCGGGGAGCCCCCGCAAGCTTGTGCAAATCACGTCGCCGGGCTTTGGAGCCAATGGCCCCCATGGCCGCGCGTTCGATGGAGGCAGCGCGCTGCACACCGTGCTGCCTGCTGCAGTAGCTGTCTCGGCCTTGATCACGTAGGCGTTTCCATTCTACGGGCAGCAGCTCTGCTCCGCGATCTTGGTTTGTGCTGAAGTGGGCCAGGTCTTCTGGGGCAGGCTGCGTGCAATCTTTGCTAGCGCCGAGCTAGCGCGGATCTAGCGCAATGACCTCTCTTACAAATGCCCGAAAATGACCTCGCTGCAAGCTCGGATGAGGAGGCCAACGGTGCAACTGCCGAGACGTCCTGAAACCCTGGACAGATATACCTACAACAATCCCGTAATCGAGTAGTGCTGCTCAGCTACTCTGATGCTCCGAAAGCTGTGTTTTCCATTTGCTTCACCTCTTCCTTCTCCTTTTTCTACTTCTCAAAACTCGTTTTCTCAAAATGAGAACAACGACGAAGAAGAAGGGGATGTCAAGGTCCTCCCAAAACAAAACAATCCCACCACCCTCCCGGGTCACGGGTGCACCCCATGGCGCTTTCATGGCTTCTAAAGCTTCAGCTTGAGCATGCGGCATCATGCGGTTCTCAGCATGCCTAGCGCGAAGCTAGCGGTTTTCCTAGCGCTACCTTCGGTAATAAGTGGCTCTAGTTGCGTGCCGCATGGCAAAGAGAAAAAAAGATGCACCCTCAACGCATTAATGTCAATCTAAATAAACCAACAGACACGCGATTTTAGAACGCAACCCATGTGAGGACAACAGCATGGCGCAGCAGAAGCGCTTAGTGAAGAGTGAATCAATATTCAGTATTACAGTATTACATATCACAACAAGACACAGCCTCAAGAGTTTGAATAGCCAGGTCATTGGGTCTCTTGCCAGGGGCGTTGTTGCCTTCCATCCGACCAGCCAGTCAACAAGCTCAATACTGTGGAGACTGGAGACAGAACAGAAATGTCGAATGAGAACTCCGTGCGTCTTCTCCGACGGAGCATAACGGCATTCTGCAATCGATGCCTTCTTAGCTGAGCTTCACCTACTTTCGAGCAAGTCTGCCAAAGCGGCTACCAGGAGACTCGGAACATCTCAGGACTGATTCGGAAGTGTTTGAGTTGAGTCACAAAGCCATGTATGCTTCCGGCTGGAATGTCCACGCAGAGGGGGCCATGCACAGATCACGTCTGCACTCCCACCACTCCGGATAAGGAAGCAGCCCATAGTTTGCTACAGTGTTGCTGCATGAGCACCCTCTCGCAAAACCCTGGCCGATGAGCACCTCTTCACCACGTGCTGCACTGCTGGTCATGGCAAAGACTTTGGTGATTTCATGACCAGTGATGAAGCCTCGGCTGGAGGTTCGGGACATTTGGTGCTTGAAGGCGGGAGCAAGAGTCTTGTCAAGTTGGCAGTACTTAAGTGGTCAACGGTAGTCCGTAGATATTCTACTTCAACAGCCACACTGCGAAGACAACACGTGAGGTAGCTGCCCCTTTCGACAGTCTGACGAGCCTGCGAAAAAAACCAAGGCTGAACAGCCCTTTTTGGAACAGTGATCCTGATTTGGGGAAGCACCCTCACTCACGATGATTCATGAACTCCCCTACCTAGGACATACCCTTTGCCCGGCTACCTGACTTTGACTTTTTGGGGAGTATCTCATGCGTAGTAGCGTAGAAGGACAGATTTTTTGAACGGGTCTTGGCCCAATGACGCATCAGGTCCAGGTCGTGGATCGTGTTGATCAGGATCGGGCCGCCAACACCCTGCATCATCGACTCATATTTAAGGTGTCCCCCGAAAACCCCAAATCCCAAACTTTCCAAGCCCGAAATGCTGAACCCCCGAGCTCAGTTTTTTCACTCTGTGGAAGCGTGAACACCAAGAACCCCGAAGACGTCTTTTGCAGCTTGCTTCGAGTTCTCTTGTCAAGCCTGCACGACTGCTGCAGTAGGCTTGTCCACATCTATTTCTATCGCCTTCTTCACATGCAACATTTAGGAGAGATATGTGGGTAAGTGTATGTGTGCATATTTGTATGTGTGTATATACATATATGTATGTATGTATGTATGTATGTATGTATGTATGTATGCATGAATGCATGCATGCATGCATGCATGTATGAATGTATGTGTTTGTATATATATATATTATATATATATATAGATACAGGTGATATACACGCAGCCGAACCTAGCCAAGCCATGCCTAAAACAGATCTGCAAGAATTCTAGAAGCCTTGCAGAAGACCCTGTGTAACAGGAGACCTTGTGTATCAGCAGACCCTGTGTCGACGCAGACCCTCCCCAATGCGTAGTAACAGAAGACCCTGTGAACCTGTCCAACCCTAAAAGACCAGAGACCAATCCTTAAACGACCTATACCCATATTATACGTACACACACATGTACACATGCCTGTATTATGTTATTTTCTGTATATTATATATATATATGCGCGCCCTGTGTATGATGAGTGTGTGTGTGTGTGGGCGTGTTTGTCTGTGCAGAATAGTGCATAAAAGCCTATGGAAATCTCAAATTAGACGGTCACAGTCACAGTAGGTGTAAGAGTCACACTTTTTCGAGCAGCCATCGCCTTCCGTCTTCGCCACTCCAGCGACGGGTCGTCTTTGCAGAAGTAGGAATCGGGTTTCAGCAATGAGAACTCCTCGGCACACGAAAGGCAGTAGGTCAGCGGTCCAGGCGCTGCTGTTGAGAAAACCGGTAAGTTTCAATGGACTGCTTTGCGTGGCGCTGCGTTGTGCAGCATGCTCTGCGAGGCACATATGTCGAGTCAGAACCTATCTCGCATCAAAGTCCCGATAGTGAAGACCGGCGGCCATGTTCACACCACGAAGAGGCCCGAAGTCCTGATCCTCAGAGACTGAGAGAAAGAACTGCGCAGATGGAGCAGACTGGCACAATACAATTGTAAATCAACATCGGGCGCGCGGTGGGCTCTGCAATGGAACAAGCACATGCATGCAGTCATTGCGAGTGAGCAGATGCGCGTGGAACCTGTATGGTGTGTTGCACGTCCCCTGCATCCAAGCGATCACTACGTGACCACCGCAGATCGGTACTGTACCTTCTTGAAGCTGAACTCAGTTTCACACATAGACACACCCCATTGGCCCCCTAATTCCGAAAGTAGATGACAAACGGCCAGCCAGACTTGCACGTGTACCAGTGTTCTGTGTGTTGCAGTGACACGTACGATACATAGCAAGGCCTAAGGATGCAGCACTACAGTCATCTTACTAGAACTAAATGAATCAAGCCCCTCCACACTTCCCTCCCCCTTCTGTTCGATCCATGGGCCGTAACCACCTGACGCGCTTGCTTCACAAGCCGTGAGTGGCGGCGCTGGTGGCCAACAAGAACCACCACGCCCGCTGAGTCTGTGATACCTCGCGATGGAGCTTGGGAGCCGTGATGGCAGCGCTGTCTGGGGTTCCGGGCATGTGACTTGTCGCCAACTTGCAAGCCCTGTGTGTTCTTGTCGCAGACATGGGCGTTTGTGCTTTCGCCGTGCCGTCTGCAACGAACGCTGAGAAGGCAGTTCCATGCTGGCCGAAAAGCCATAAGGCTTCCGAGCGTTTCCAAGCACCTGCTACACCTCCGAATTCCGAAACCAAAACATTGAAAGTTCTTGAATTACGAGAGAAATACAGCCAGTTTGAAAGCATTAAGCTCTACGTTTTTCTACATCAACGTGTAGCAACCCTACGATCACCGAAAGATATAGGCCTCGCACAAACACAAAGCCAAGCTGCTGAGAAGCTCTGCTGCCTGGAATGGACAACTATGCCACAACTGAAAAGCATTCACCGTACATGAACGCAAACCAGCCAGAACATGAGTGCTTCTTCTAACCCTTACGTGTATGCGTGTGATGCTTGCGGCCGGACGACACCACGGCCGTTGTTCTATTACGTCTAGGTGGCTGTGTTTCTACATCTGCATTCTGCAAACTTTGCACGGTTGCATGTCATCAACTCGTCCTCATGGTAAGGTGTGCCATCATTCGACTGAATCGCAATCATCTACATCTGCAATACAACCGCAAACTGCAAGCACTCTGCAAGTGCTGCACACAAGTCTGCACACTCTCCTGACGGCATCTCTCGGAGTTTGGAACCACCTCTGGAAACGATTGGAAATCGATTTGCGCCCACGACGGAACCAATGCAAGAGGCCTACCATGTTCACGAAAAGCATACAACCAGTGGTTCGTGTGGTGTGGTCCATGCTGTTTGGCTAATCTTCCAAAGCGCAACATGATAGCGGCTACCAGCTACTGAACGATGATCTTTTCCAAGCAATGAACGGATCTCCCACTTGAGCTCCCTGTTCTAGAATTGGTCAGGAAGGAAACTCCTCTAAAAGGTGCCTTATGGGGAGCAGCCATTACGCCTTCAGCACTCGGGGCTATACATCAGTGCAAAATCGTGGCAGTCAGTGAGGCTCCTGCAACCGGCCCCACCCTCCCATCCCCATCAACCCCTTGCGATCGAGTTTGCGCTCTGAAGGTCGTGGCAAATAGGCTTCTCGATCAGTAGCGCTTTCAAGATGCCACCTGAAGGGTCTAGGGTTTCATGATCCAAGTTCTAAGGCTGAGAATTCGAGGCGCTGCGGGGCGTAGAGGGTCTCAGGCACCCAAGGACCATGTTTGATAGTCGCAGCAAAGTCGGATCGGATATGGATGTGACGTAGCAAACCCAAAAAGCCAAGCACGTGGTAAACAGAGCGATAAAGTTCAAACCGATGCAAGTTCTGGTGGTGAATGCAGTGGCCATGCATGGGAGAAATATGTTTGTCCATCCCTCCAATAATCATTAACTAGCTTGAGCAAGCACCGCGCTCAACCTCATATTAAGAATGTTCGTTCCCACCACCTTCACCACTACCATGATCCGCTGCGATCAGCGTCTTCGTGTAAGACTGGAGCAAATTCGGTGGCTGTGCTGGACATTAGTAAGGGTACGGAGGTGGATTGAGGTCAGTTCTCATTGTGGTGTCATGATCGTGATGTCCACTCCTGATTTGCGAGGGATCACCCGATCATGGAATCATGGCAATTCTTCCGGCCTTATTCGGATTCGTCGTAACGTCTCCCCCAACCCACCCGCCCCCCCCTCCACCTGATCCTGCACAGCAAGCAAAGTGCCCTCAGCTGCACACCTGTAAATGCATGCAGACATGTGCAAACTCTGCATGCGTTGTCGTTCTCACTAGAAGTAGAGAATGCTGTCCAATGAAAGACCTTGAACCTATGTATGTACAGACACGTGCAGACATAGGAATATTACATATCCATACACATACAAACACACATGCATGCAAAACATGCATATGGAATAAGTGCTGTACACATAGACTGACATAGACACTGAATGAATGAAGCTAGTAAGGCATATAGGCGTCAGCAGGCATGCTCACGAACCTAAGCTTTATCATATCTCCCCGAGCCTCGGCCTTCTTCCTTGCGAAGCTTTGTGCCTTCGATGCAGGCCTCTCTCGAGAAATGAGATCAACTGAGGGTTGATTCCACTTTCGTTGGCTTTAGGGTTCAGTCTTGGGGCTCCAGAGTGTAGGGTGTTAAGGGTTGGCGGTTGGCACGGCGTGACAATTTCAGAGGGATTGAGGGCTTCAGGTTGCAGGATTTGTTGTTTCAGGACAATGTTACAGAGCTCGCGAGCTGTCTAGACTTGCTTAGACCTCCAATACCTCCAGGCCTTAGGCCGTAGGCATGTAGAGATGTCCATCGATCCGACAACAAAGAAGTGCACCGGATTCAGATAGCGGGCAGATAGAGCACTGCCGCGCGAAAAGTTCATCCACGGTTTCTGTCGATGGTTGATGCTATCGTACCCGGCCTGCTGCTCTCGTCACTGTGGGGTAAAACTTTAACTCTCTCAGCACATACACCTCAAAGCAGCAGTTCTGTGCTGGGCCCAAGAAGCCGCCTGCGTGAGCGCCAAGTGGAGGTGAGTGGGCGCGGCGATGACGACTCCGTCAAGGGCCTCTCGGCGCGCCATCTCCTGTCGTGGAACGGTCAGGGGACAGGCTTGTGCACTGCAGTGTAGATGCGGGGCTATGACTGAACCTTAAACTGGTTTGGTTGAACGGTCGTGAACTGTCTGGCATCACAGCCCACATCCCAAAACGCATTCCTCAAGCCAGAGGCTCTCTAGAATCTAGAAGCAAATGTCGTCACCCGGCACACTACCAAATCGACACGTATAGTACTTGTACCAAACAGCTGATGCTGCTACCATGTGCCCTTTCTGCACATGAGCTTACACACATATACGCATGCATATATACAGATTCATCCATAAACAGAGTTGCACACAAAGACATACACACGCATTCACACGCACACACATAAATAAATAAATATAACTATAGATAAATAAATAAACAAATAAACATATATATGTATATATATGTATATATATATATATGTATATATGTATGTATATATATATGTATATATATGTATATATATATATAACAAACGAATAAATAAATATATGTATATATGTGTATGTGTATGCATGCATGTATGTATACGTATGTATATATATATACATATATATATATATGTATATGCATGTATGTGTATATATATATATTATAAACAGATATATATGTATGTATGTATGTATGTATGTATGTATGTATGTACATATGTATGTACGTACGTATGTATGTATGTACGTTCTGTGTGTGCCAGTGCGATTTATGCACGCATAGATAGACATGCACGTAGACATGTACATAGACAACCACGCGTACCTGTACATAGACAAAGACTAAGACGTGTGCGCGCATGCACAAGTATGCGCATATGTATACATACCAAGTACATAGCACGCGCCTTACACCATAGACCACGTGCAATGCTATAGGATACACACACACAGCAACGTAAACAGTATAATTTCAAGATCAAGTAGGTCAAAGTAGGTTTGTACAAAAATGAAAAACCAGCTAAACCAGATGCTCAGTAATGGATTATAGTGGCATTGCATTTATGTATCAAATACATGTTTGTATGTGTATATATATATACATATACATGTGTGTATATATGTATATACACATACATGAGTATGTATATATGCATATATGTATATGGACACGCACACGTTGCCACCTTCGCGTCAATGTAAAGCGGCACTTGCAGCTGCTCGGCCAGGGCCGTATCATCTGCACGCCGCTGGCAGATGCAGGCGAGCTCTACCTTCGAGTTGAGGGAGAATGAGGTTTTACAGTCTCTGTAGCTTGCTGTAAGTGTCTAGGCTCTGGTCACAGGAATGGGTTTACTCAACAGGGGACTGAGCAGTGACTCTGCCGCGCATGCTTCCTCTTCGTGCTTCGGTTCGGCTTTGGTTCCGTTTTGTGCCGGCTTGTTTCCGCAATGCATCATCGACGGCTGGTTGAAGGGACATAGCGGGGTGAAGATGCACACACACACACTCACACATGACATGGTGTCGATGCTTACAGGATATGCAAGTATATAGCCTCTTGAATCAAGAGCAGTACGTCAGCTCCAAAAGTCAAGCACATGTGATTGAAACTAGTGTGCCCTCGATCCTGAAACTCACCCTCGTCAAAGCCGGGGCCACCACGGCAACCGCAACAACAGCTGCGCCAACAAGAAAAACAAGTACATGCGAAACAACAAGCAAGGCGAAGAACAAAGCTAGCGATGACATTGCCACCCTGAGGCTGGGGGCTTAGGCTCAAGGTGCAATGGAAAAGATGACCGACAAACCCTCGGCCCCCTTCCCCCTTCCAGCGACGAAGCACATCATCGTCTACAGCCAAGCGCTTGAGAAGTAGACCTCAAAGGTTTGTCTTGCCATGAGACCCTGCCAGGACGGGTTCAACCTGAAATTATGTGAAAATCCTTATGTGTGCGATCCTGACATATGAACCATGTGCAAGCTCACTGCAAGGAATGGCGCAGTTCAGAGGCACTGATGCGAGGACACTTGGCTGCTGAAAGGGAACGGCACTCGAAGAGCTCAACTCAACGCCTGTACAGTAGTATCTACAGCCCGGCTACGGGAATGTATCCAGAACGACGAACCTAAAACCATCCTCTACTCTCTCAGTGCACCGTTGGAAACTCTGGTTGCCAGCGCAAATATCCAGCTATGATGATGCTCGGGAAGGTGCGCCAGCCCCTGTATGAAAACACCAGGACGACTGCTGCTACTCCTGCAACTATCACAACAACAAAAGCAACAACCACAACACATAGGAGCCAGCACCAACAACAACAACAACAATAAGCATAACTTTTTACCCACTATGCTCACGTAGCCGCGCGAGCATCCGGAGCGTCAAAGCATGCTGAAATTCAATGCGACGGAAGGAAAGACCAATCAGGAATAATTGAGGAAGTAGCTTTCTTTCGAGA